CAGCACTTTGGGAGCTCAAGGCGGGTGGATCACTTGAGGCCAGGAATTTGAGACCAGCCTGGCCAACATGGTAAAACCTTGTCTCTTAAAATTACAAAGAAGACAGGGTGGGGGTGGCTTACACCTGTAATCCCAGCACTTTGGGAGACCAAGGCAGGCAAATCACATGAAGTTAGGAGTTCAAGACCAGCCTGGTCAACATGATAAAACCTTGTGTCTGCTAAAAATACAAAAAAAAAAAAAAAAAAAAAAAAAGGCCAAACATGGTGATGTGTGCTTGTAATCCCAGCTACTCAGGAGGCTGAGGCAGGTGAATCCCTTGAACCCTGGAGGCAGAGGTTGCAGTGAGCCAAGATCCCACCACTGCACTCCAGCCTGGGCAACACAGTACAACTCCATCTCAAAAAGGAAATAAAATTACACAAACATTAGCAGGGTGTGGTGGCACATGCCTGTAATCCTAGCTACTCAGGAGGCTGAGGTACAAGAATCCCTTAAACCCAGGAGACAGAGTACAGTGAGTCACCACGATTGCACCACTGTACTCCAGCCTGGGCAACAGCATGAGACACTGTCTCAAAAATCATACCTGATCACCATATCTTGATAAGTTGCTGACTAGGATAAATGATCTAATTTAACTTAGAAAAAATCTATCACAGGTCACTTTTTAAGATGGTTTGCACCCTGTGATATGTCAGTAAGCAGAAATGCTGACATTTGAGTGGTCAAAGGTTTAAAAGAAAGTTTGGAAGAGCAACACTGGACATGAATCTGTGACTTGAAAAAGTTGGTAAAATAAGTATCACTAAAGCTCTCTTCCTTTGACTTTAGAAGGCAATACAGTGACTTTGATAAATGGGAAATTGGGTCACTTGAGGATAATCCATATAAATGTCACTGAAAAGCAGGTAGGTTCTCTGACAAATGTTCTGGGGCATGGAAACCACGTTGCTAGTGGGGTGGTAACTGGCATTTTTCTCAAGAGTTCTATACCTAGGGAAGATTTATTCACTAACATAAGACTTTAAAAAAAACTATGTGGCCGGGCGCTGTGGCTCATGTTTGTAATCCCAGCACTTTGGGAGGCCAAGGCAGGCAGATCACCTGAGGTTGGGAGTTTGAGACCAGCCTGGCGAACATGAAACTCTGTTTCCACTAAAATACAAAAATTGGCAAGGCACAGTGGCGGATGCCTGTAGTCCCAGCTACTCAGGAGGCTGAGGCAGGAGAATTGCTTGAAGCAGGGAGGCGGAGGTTGCAGTGAGCCAAAATTGCACCACTGCACTCTAGCCTGGATGACAGAGCGAGACTCTGTCTCAAAAAAGAAAAAAAAAAAGGACTATCTGATTACCTAGACTCAAATTTATTTTCATTTGTAGGTTTTGAGATGGAGTCTTGCTCTATCGCCCAGGCTGGAGTGCAGTGGTGCAATCTCGGCTTGCTGCAACCTCTGCCTTCCAGGTTCAAGCGATTCTCCTGCCTCAGCCTCCTGAGTAGCTGGGATTACAGGTGTGTGCCACCACACCTGGCTAATTTTTGTATATTTAATAGAGACATGGCTAAATTTTGTATATTTAATAGGGTTTCACCATGTTGGTCAGGCTGGTCTCGAACTCCTGACCTCGTGATCAGCCCACCTTGGCCTCCCAAAGTGCTAGGATTACAGGCATGAGTCACCGTGCCCGGCCCATTTGTAGTTTTTTTTTAAACTACTATAATACAGACCCCAATGATGAAATGTTAACTTTGGTATATTGTGAACTGAACTTCTACATCTTCATTACAAGAAAAAGACAAATACCTGAAACATATTTGGTAGAGTCTGGGAGGTGAAGAGTTAAGAAAATGAAAGACATATTTGAACCAAATTGCCATTTTTATAGGCTTTTTGGTTGCCTTTTGGCAATTTCATGTGGTTCACCCTAAGATGACCACTTAGGGCTCAGTATTTCTGGTTAAAGAGAAATTTTATCTTAGCCCTTTCTTTTACATTTCGTCTTTATGTAATCCGTATGTCTATACATTATTGAAATCCAACAGCACTAAATCTTGACCTTTTAACAGCTCAAGTTTCATTTCTTGGTCTAGTTTTCCTACATTTCTAAGTATTCCTTTATTTTTTACTTTTTAAAGCCAAAGCCAATTTTAATTAGAATACAGATTCAGTCTTGATTCTGTGTTTGGGCTATGCAGTGTTTCTAGAAACTAGTTTAGCTACAGTATGCAGGTTAACTGGAATCTTTACTCATTCAGCCTTTCTCCCTAACCACATTTAAGATAGCTATGATGAACTCTTAAGCAGGCTTTTTCTTTCTTTTTTTTTTTTTTGAAACTCAGTCTCGCTCTGTCACCCAGGCTGGAGTGCAGTGGCGTGATCTTGGCTCACTACAACCTCCACCTCCGAGGTTCAAGCGATTCTTCTGCCTCAGCCTCCCAAATAGCTGGGATTACAGGTGTGCACCACCACGCCCGGCTAATTTTTGTGTTTTTAGTAGAGACAAGGTTTCACCATGTTGGCCAAGCTGGTCTCAAACTCCTGACCTCGGGTGATCTGCCCACCTTGGCCTCTCAAAGTGCTGGGATTACAGGTGTGAGCCACCACGCCAGCCTCAAGCAGGCTTATTAAGTATAGCACTACTTGGAAAAGCACCTGACAGCTTGCAGAGAAATCTCCCAGTGCGTGCTAGGTGCTATACAGAGTCTGTAGATTGCACGCAGCACCTCTCAACAGATTAAGGATTGTTTTACCTTAAAGTCTAACTTCTGCCTACGTACCCATTTGTAGACCTGGCTGGGCCTGATGATGTGCCAGGAAGCAATATCTCGGAGCTCTTCAGTGAAGCCTGCTCCGTGAGTATATAGGAGCATTCTGTTTGGTTTCTAAGGGAATTTCCATTGAACTATTTGGCCAGTGAGAGAACATGCACTTAAATATGAAATAAATTTTAAGAATATTAGTTTGTGGTTTAGGATATCTAGGGTGCAGGAAGAACAAGTGGCTGTGAAAGTGAAATGGTATAGAAATTAAGAGGAGTCCTCAGTTCAATGAAAAGAGGTTAACAGTCTTTAAAAAGGGACAGGTTTGGTGATTATTACAACTTCTGTAAGGGAGTAAAGCAATTGCAATGTGATTAGGAAATTCAGTAATGGTCCCAGAACCTAAGGTCTTCAGTGAGCTATCAGTAGTATCTACTTCAAAAGACCTCAAAGGATTCCCAAATTAGACTGCTAGCTTAAAAAAAAAAAAAAAAAAAAAAATCTTAGGCCAGGCCCGGTGGCTCATGCCTGTAATCCAAGCACTTTGGAGGCCAAAGTGGGCGGATCGCCTGAGGTCGGGAGTTCAAGACCAGCCTGACCAACATGGTGAAACCCCATCTTTAAAAAAACAATAAATAAATAATAAATAAAAAAATCTGTTGCTTCATCTTCTTAACTTCAATTCTATAAATGCGTACCTGCAATCTCCAAGCTGGTGGCTCCCGTGTCTCCTCAGTGTGAGAACTGTCTCTGACAAAGGCGGAGCTTCAGGTGTTTTATGCATCTCGTCTTCCAACCCCTGCTTCACGCTTAGATGAAGATCTTTAGGACCCTCCCGCAACAAAATCATCCCGGTCTCACCATGACCCACTGTGGCAATGCTTGATATTGATCACTGTGACCCGCTGCCAAAGCATTAGCACCGGGTTCCAGGACGTGCAGGCTTCATCAGGCTCACAGGTCTCTTGCAATTCCCTTTCATTACCTACTTGAGCCCATCTGTGTTCCCCAAAACAGCTGTTCCTAACTTACTGCCCTTATTCGTTCTCCTCACCTGCTCACAACACAAATCATGTATCCTCAATGTAGGCTGAGGACTACATGGCATCTGCACCTTCGAAAACCTGTTTCCTCTGGCATTCAATGCCTTCTTTAAAGTAACTCTTCTCATCTGGTGGAGAGGATTCCATCTCTAACTCTAAAATCAACCTTCTTTATCCACCCTTTCCACTACTTTATTCCCTTCTGCTTTAAAAGTGCATTCATCTCCGCAATTTGGGGATGCAATTCCTTAAATGCCCCAGTGTTTCTCACGATGTGGTCCCCAACCCACCTGTCTCTCATGAGCTAAAAGTGCCTGTGAAAAACAAAGCTTCTCTAAATGCAATGTGGTGTCCTGCACTGGATCCTGGAACAGATGGGGAACGTTAGTGGAAAATCTGATGAAGTATTCGGTTAATAGTAACGTGCCAACATTAACTGCTTAGTTTTAACAAATGTTAACATCGGGGAAATGAGTAAGAGGCATACAGAAACTCATTTTGGCAACTTTTGGTAAATCTAAAATTATTCCAAAATTAAAAGCTTATTTTTGTAAAAAAATAGCTTATTGGGTCCCAGAGCTACTGAATCTCAATTCCTGGGGCTGAGGCCTGGGAACTGACATTTTTAACATGAACCCCAAATGATTCTTATGCAGATACAAATTTGAAAATCTAACCTCTCAATCTCCTTTCATTCCATGTCTGAACACTGCTTCCTCATTGTCTTGCTTACCTTAACTTTGCCTTAACCTGAGTCAATCCTTTAAATTTTTAACCCTAAAATATAAATTCCCCTTTCACAAATGAGAAAACTGAAATACCCAGAGGTTGTGTCCAGGATCATACAGCCCAAAACTGGTGGAACTGGGGTTTGAGTTCCTAGTAAGTCTGGCTTCCAAATCTATGCTCATAGCCACTCTGCCTCTCAACCTTGTTACCATCCGTGGACAAACTAAGGAGCTCTGTAACTAAATCACTAAAAGATTAGGCATCATTGCCAATATTATCCTGAGCCCATTTATTTCTGCAACCTTCTTTTCTTTTTTTTTTTTGAGATGGAGTTTCACTCATTTCCGAGGCTGGAGTGCAACGGCGCGATCTCCACCTTCCAGGTTCTAGCAATTCTCCTGCCTCAGCCTCCCGAGTAGCTGTGATTACAGGCATGTGCCACCGTGCCTGGCTAATTTTGTATTTTTAGTAGAGATGGGGTTTCTCCATGTTGGTCAGGTTGTTCTTCAACTCCTGACCCCAGGTGATCTGCCTGCCCCAGAGTCCCAAAGTGCTGGGATTACAGGCATGAACCACTGTGCCCAGTCTGTTTCTGCCACAAAGCCCAACAGTCCCTCTGTTCCAGCTTGTGACTTTGCCTTCTCCGAACTTTTCCAATGAGGGAAAATGAGTGACAAGAAAGCATGGGGAAGATGTGCTAACTAGTGTCCTGTACATGTAAGGTACAGTTGCTCTCCTCTTAGGAGTCAACTCAACTCTATTTTCTAATCTGCCTCTCCTAGCTACCTCGTGCACCAATCTAATAAAGTTCCTAGTGCTCAGCTTGACATTGAATTACATACTCTTATTGTTAACTAACCTCTTATGGGATTTATGTTGTCTCCTACAAGTAATAAAGTTCCTAGTGCTCAGCTTGACATTGAATTACATACTCTTATTGTTAACTAACCTCTTATGGGATTTATGTTGTCTCCTACAAGTATTGTAAGCTAGTAACCCATGTTCTCCCACATACTTATGTCTCAGAGCACTGGTGAACCCTGTCTACCAGGCATTAAAATGAGGTGGTGTTTGGTAGATTGGTAGCTAATCTGCATTTTGCCAAAGTAGCACCAGCAGAAGGTGGTCTGACAATAGTTTCTCAGGCTAAGAATCTGTCCAGATGATTAGGGAAGAGCCAGTTCAGTCAGCTTCTCCCGTCTCTTCTGGGCTCCCTGACTTGTATTTAGAATACAGTACAAATTGCAGATCCAACTGCTGGATGATAAAGTTTTGGGAGTTCCTGCCCTCTAACCAGACACACAAAACAGCACCATCTCTAATCAAATTGGTTTGGTATAAACGGAAGGTTTATAAAATAGAACACAATCTCAGGCAACATCTGTTCTTCCACACATCTCCCTTCAGCAAGTGAATCATGAGACAATCACAGGATTGGCGGGTGTGAGATCTGGGAAATATATTCAAATGAAACATGTTTCTTAACTAGTTCTGTCTCTGGTGATGGGAATTTGCTTGATTTTACTTACTAATAAAATTTTTGCTGCTTACATTTTAAGTACATCTGAAAAACCTGATTATGAAGTTAGAATCCATGTATCTCCTCAAATACTCTTAGAAAGCAGTGTCTTTTCATAAAAACATGAGGAGAAAAAGACATCTACAGCACCTTTGTATTGTCTTTACCATTACTTTAATGCATTTTAAAATTTATCTACATTAATTGGGAACAAAGAAAAATAGACATTTCTTTGTTTTTCATAAATAACTAATCTTCATATTTGATAAAAATCTCAAACCATTATTTTACCTTCCCACAAATATAATACATACAAAATTTTTCTGAAGGTCAACAAATGAAGTATCTTGAGACTAACATAACCACATACAACTGCTGTTTCTACTGACTCCCAGGAACGAAGCAGAAACAAAAACTCATCCAGCAGCTCTGGGTTTCCTTTTGTAAGTGTTACAGATTCAGAATTGTAATCATGTATCATCTGCCAGTCATAATTTATGGATTCAAATTGATTGTCTACAAATAAAATATCGCTGGCTCCAATGTGTAATGCCTGGATTTAACATGACAGTGACTACTGCATGGGATAGGCACTATACATATGTGGAAATCAGAAGTATTCAATGCCCTGGACTCGAACTACTGACTCGGTATGTGCCTCATTTGGCTCAGTAATAAATTCACCTGCACCAAACCCGTATCAAAAGTCACCAAATCTTTCATATATATAATATATATTATGTATATACACACCCACAAAACATACATACTATACACACAGTTTGTAACAACATGAAATCATATGGTCTTAAAATGATGTACCCGCAGACAGACACTATCCTGGCTGAAATAAATCCTGTAATTATCAGGTTACAAGAAGCTTTTGAAAGCCTTGACTCAGGTTAGCTACTTATATTCTGCCTACCCTTCACCCTGCTTTAATGTCTTGGCAGTTCTTTCAGAATGACCCTCCCCAACCTAGACAGCTTTCTTTCCCAGGATCACCTGATTGGACTTTGGAAACAAGAGCAGCCAGAGGGAGCAGGCAATTCTTAGCCACTGTCCCTCACACCTGCCTACATGTGTGATGTGCTCTGTCCTGTTGGCCACATTTGGTGTTAGAAAGCAGTTATTCAAAGCTTTGTCCCTCCTACCCCCCTTGGGCTTTCTGTAGAGCACAAAAGTGAAAGAAGCTTCTCTGGCAGGGGTAGCAGTTCATTAAAATATACAACTACATTTCCTAGCTCTGGGGTTCCCATTCTGTACTGGAGAGTGCAGGTCACGGATGCTGTTATTAAGGTTCGGTGTGTGATCCATGAGGTTTTCTCCTGGCAGCCAGCGTCAGGATTAGTGCAGCTTCAGCCCAGAAGGAAACAGCCTAATGAATACCAACTTTGAAACAGTGCTGTCGGTACATTATTTAAGCTTGGACATGTGCACAATTACACACAACACACACACATGGGCCTTGGTCACTGGCAATGGTCATGAGAAAATATGACAAAGGTTTGCAAGGATAAACCAATAAGGCACCAAGAAAAATTGTTTCCAGCCAATTTGACCATTTCAAAATGTGAGAAGGGAAATCATAGAAATTAAAAAGATTTCCTAAAATCTGTTCAGCTGATTCACTGAGAGGTCCCATTAGTTCCTTTAGACAACCTACCTGAATCGAATCCTCATCCCCTAAACTATTAAGTGAAGCATTGCTTAAAAATCGAACTGAGCCGGGCACGGTGGCTCACGCCTGTAATCCCGGCACTTTGGGAGACCAAGGCGGGCAGATCATGAGGTCAGGAGTTTGAGACCAGCCTGACAAACATGGTGAAACCCTGTCTCTAATAAAAATACAAAAATTCGCCGGATGTGGTGGTGCATACCTATACTCCTAGTTACTTGGGAGGCCGAGGCAGGAGAATCACTTCAACCCGGGAGGCGGAGGTTACGGTGAGCTGAGATTGTGCCATTGCACTTCAGCCTGGGCAACAAGAGCAAAACTGCATCTCAAAAAAACCCCAAAAACCAAACTTAAAGGGACAGCCCTGAAGCTGTACATGAGACTCAACTGGGCCCTAAGTCTGCCCCAGCTTCACAAAGCTGGCTGTGACCAAGTTGCTGAACTACTCCACAACCTTTTATTTTACAGTTGTTTTCATGAGCATGACTTGTTTCCATAATCACATGCAAATTGGGGGAAATAAGTATATGGATGGAAACAGGGGGTGGCCATAAGTAAATCCAGTTTCTTTCCCCTGGGGTGGCTGATATCAGTAAGACTTAGGGAAGCAGTATCTTTGCCTCTCTTAGGGGATAAGGGAAGAGAGAGACAGCAGAGGTGAGAACAGAGACAAAGAAGTGCCTCTGAAAGTTGGTCTGGAATTAGACTCCTAAGATCATGACTTACATTGCCTCCCCTTAGGCTTAGCATCCTTTGTTTTAACTGGCTTATTTTTTAAAGTCAATTAGTTGTTCAGCATGTTGCTAAAACAAACAAGAAATTCAAAAATAAATTAAATCACTTTCACCCACTTCATCCCACAGCTTTTGGATACACTGCACATCATTTCTAGATTTCTCCACAAAGAAAAGGAGGGGGAACCCAAATTAGGCACAATGACTGAAGGCAGCAGAGCAGTCTATGTACTTTCTGGGAAGATATAGGAAATGAGGGAAAAGGTCAAGGTGATCAGAGAAGGTTCTCTCATTTGAAAAACAGGAGAGGAATTGGCACTCAGTCAAGGGATCTATTTCAAGATTCTAGGAAGAGTCTTCTTCCTAGAAGAATAAATAGAGGAATAAAATAGGCACAAAGTTATGTAGCTATTTGTAGGAGATTTTGTAGAATCCACTGAAATTTTAATTTTGATTTGGAGGATAAGTTGGGTAAGAGCAGTGCATTTTAATAAATATGAAGTTTTTGAGAGTCCTTAATACTAGGTTTCTTCCCACCAGTACAGTGTTTCAATTCCCTCTGGGAACTATGCATTTGTCAAATTAACATCCATGAAGTAAAAACTGACCTAGGCTTAAATTGTACTTTTCCAACTTTGGTAGAAGTGAATTACACATGCCTAGACCCCAGTTGTTTTCCTAGACAGGCTTTCTCAAATGTTAATTGCTCTGGCCATTTTAGCTTCCTAAATTTAGTACCCAGTACTGGTCACTGGAATTTTGTTGGCTGAGGCACTGTCACCCCCTTCCCCATTAATGGCCCCACACTCTTCATGAATAAATGCTTAAACAGATTAGAAAAGCAAACAGAATTTTCTAACAGCAAAGAAACCTCTGTATGTGTGTGTTCATCAATATATAGGCTTTCATAATGAACGAAGGAATGGTTAAACAGATTAGTAAAGCAAACCAACTGCCAAGAAGTGTGTGGTGTGTGTGTGTGTTCATCAACATACAGGCTTTCTCAGAAAACTACAGAGGTAGCAAAACACTGATCTATATTTTAAAAGGTTGTGTAAGCATGTTATGGGTCTTATTTGTTTTCAGAGAGGGCAGAGAGCAACATCTTGCTGCTTTTTGACTATCTGGTTATAAACTAGTCCAAAGTCCAGGGACACTTATTTTCCCTTATTTGGGCCAATGTTTGTTCACAGGTAGCCAGCCTCCCTCTCCCAGTTCAAGCATTTCACTCAAGGGTGGGTGTGGTTTCTAATCACAGCTCTCCAGGAGAGGAGGAATAAGAAAAAAGCAGAAAAGATTGTTTAACATGATAAAGGGGGCGTTGAGAGGGTGCGGCAAGTAAGTGTTGGAAATTTACTTTAATTATTGGCAGTACATCCATTTTTGTCCTTGTATTTAAAAAAGAGCCCCCTTTAGCAACTGCCACTAAGTATTGTCCAGAGGGAGGGGGTTTACACTTTTACCAAAATTATAACACAATTTCCTTAAAAAAAAAAAAAAAAGGGTGGGGGGGAATCACTGAAGCCTAAGAACCACCCACTCCCTCTCAGGCACAAAGCTGCCAACTCACCAGCCTAGAATTCAAGCTCCACCAATAACTATCGCTTTGGGTCTCACAACTGCAAATATTTATGCCAGATTCTCTATAATGCTACCTCTAACTTATTCGAGACACAACGATGGTGAGGTTAGGAGTGAGAATTATTACAAGCACTACAGAAAAGAAACAACCTCCCTCTATAAACAAAGCTAAAAAGGAACACAAAATCACTAAGTACTTCCTAACCTTCTCACTTTGGGGAGGGCCTAAGCACATTATGCTCCCCCCCCAGGTATGCCCTGGGGCCATAAACTGCAGCTCACCTTAAAGAATCATGGACACTTTAAGCAGTGGCAGGAGAAGCTAGATGAAAAAGCACACCCAACAACTTCCCAGTCACAGCAACCGAAACGTTCACTGTTCACATTTTTTTAAAAAAGACACACGTATAGGAAATATATTTTCCCAATTGAGAACACACAGTTCAAAGAAACCTGAACTAAGTGGAACTTCATGACAAGGCCAACCTCAGGATTGTAAAGCCCCCAAAGCAAAGGTAAATTTTGTTGCCAAAATGCAACAAAGTTACAAAGAAAAATACATATAAATTAAAAAGAAGGTTCCCATAAAGAAGGCAGTCAGAAACGCAAAATAGAACACACGTGAGCTGGGCCTCCTGGAGAAGACTTGGGATAGGTTCTTCCCGGAAAAGAACTTCCCTCTCTCCAAGTCGCCGCGGGAGGGGGCAACAGCACCGTGAAGGTAAACGGAAGTGACCTTGGCAAAACTACCAAACAAAACGCCCCCCTCCCCTCAGCTCTCCAGCCGGGTCCCTCCTACACGTGCGACAGGGACACCTGTTTGTGGTAGGCGGCGGCGGGGCCCGGCGGCCCGGTCCTGCCGGTGAGTGAGGCGCTGGCCTCGGGGTAGTCCCCGGCGGCCATGGCGCCTCCGCTCTTGTGGCCGCGCTGCGGGCGGCAGCAGCAGCGGCTGGTGAAACGCCGCCACGACTCCACCGTCTTGCCCGACCAGATCCAGACACCCGACGTGATGCCCACCACCAGGCACATGAAGTACTTGAGCATGAGCACCCAGTACTCGGGCTTGGCGCGCGGCTGGCCGGCGTCGGGGGCCGGGCAGGCGCAGGTGAGCGCCGCCTCCCAGCTCTCGCGGTAGTGCTGCTCGTACAGGTAGCAGGCCACCACGATGCTGGCGGGCACGGTGTAGAGCAGCGTGAAGATGCCGATGCGGATCATGAGCTTCTCCAGCTTGTCCGTCTTGGTGCCGCCCTGCTTGATGACGCTACGGATGCGGAAGAGCGACACAAAGCCCGCCAGCAGGAAGAGCGTGCCCACCAGCAGGTAGAGCACCAGCGGGCCCAACACGAAGCCGCGCAGCGAGTTCAGGTTCTGGTTGCCCACGTAGCAGATGCCGGCCACCGGGTCCCCGTCCACGGAGCTCAGCGCCAGCGCCGTGATGGACTTGACGCTGGGGATGAGCCACGCAGCCAGGTGGAAGTACTGCGCGTAGCCCGCGATGGCCTCGTTGCCCCACTTCATGCCGGCTGCCAAGAACCAAGTGAGCGACAGGATGACCCACCAGATGGAGCTGGCCATGCCGAAGAAGTAGACCAGGAGGAAGACGATGGTGCACAGCGCAGGGCCCGTGGTCTCGTAGTGGATGTGGTTGTGCTCACGGCTGCAGGCCACGCTGGCATGGCCCACGACCAGGCGCACTAGGAAGCCCAGCGACACGCACAGGTAACAGGCGGACAGGAAGATGATGGGGCGTTCAGGATAGCGGAAGCGTTCCATGTCTATGAGGAACGTGGCCACTGTGGTGGACGTGGAGATGAAGCACAGCACAGACCACAGGCCGATCCAGAAGGTGGCGAACGTGCGCTCATCGGAACTGAAGGACGGCTGGTAGCAGGGTACCGCGCAGTTGGGCACCCGCCCCGTCCGCACCTTGTTGTAGAGCGGGTGTGACTCCTTCAGGATCGGCACGAAGGGATCGCGACACTTGCACACGGACGGGCCCCCAGCGGGGCATTCGCCCCCTGAGGCCGGCGCCCCTGGTGGGCCTGGAAGCGTGGGCTTGGCTGGGAAGGGCCTGGGGGGCGCCGTGGTGGCCTCGCTGCGGTTGTAATCCATGCACAGGACCTCGGCGTCGCGGCCCAGCACCGGGAGGCGGTCGCAGCTCATGCGCTCGGGCCAGGCGAAGCCGTACTGGCGCATGAGCGGCGAGCAGCCGGCCTTGGCGCGCTCGCACACCGAGCGGCAGGAAGGCAGCGGCTTGTGATAGTCCGGCAGGCAGATGGGCGTGTACATGGAGCACAGGAAGAAGCGCAGGTCCGGCGAGCAGTGGATCTCCACCAGCGGCCAGAACTGGTGCACCTCCAGGCCCGCCTCGTCCTGCGTGTCGTGGTTGAACTGGTTGGGCATGTGCGTCAGGTTGTAGCCGATGCCGCGGCACATGGGCACCGTGATTTCCTGGCACACCGGGGCCTTGGACGCGGCGGTCGCCCGGCCCGCCAGCTGCGCCAGGAGCAGCAGCAGCAGAGAGGGAGGCGCGGATGGGTCAGACCGAGCCATCGCCCCCTCCCTCCCCTCGCCTCCAGTAGCCCGCGAGGGACCCACGCAGGCAGAGGAATCCGGGCTGGGGCTTCTCCCTCCGGCGTCTCGTGTGTGGCGCCGGGGATGGCAACCTGTTGGTTGCTTTTTCCTTTAAAGAAATCCGTCCAAAGATCAACTGCTTCAGGAAGGCGCTGCCTTCGCTGGCAGCGCTCCGCTCCTCGCCGAGTAGGGCTGGGGAGACACGGTTAGGGCTTGGATTCCCGGGAAAGGACTCTAAAAAAGAAGGGGGACAAGATTGCAACCACTCCCGGTTAGAGGGGAGTCAACGGCTGGGTCCCCGCGAGCGGTCTCCAAATCTCTAAGTTAACCCCTCTCCTTTCCTCCCTCCTCCGCCTCCTGGAACCAAACTACTGACTTCCCCACCCTCTCTTTCCAAGCTGGGCCCTCCAGGCAGTGCCCGGAGACCAAAAGGCTCAGCCTCCCGGAAAAGGGCACAGGAACCGGGCGGGAGAACAGGGAGAAAGGGAAGGCTCTCACCTCCACAGATCCCGCCGAGAGGAGCAGACAGTCCGCAGCCAGCCTGGGTCCTCCGCCCCTGGGACACTCCGCTGAGAAGCGCGACTCACAGCTGGGCCGGCGCCGGGAAAGTTTAGCGACAGGCTGGGTATCCGTGGCAGCGGCACATGGCAGCAGGTGGGGGCGACTCAGAGAGGGGGGCGTCCCCAGAACAGGGGCGGCGCAGGCCGGTCACTAGCCCTCTCCTCTTCGGGGGCCCCCCGCATGATCCAGACGGGGCCGGGCAGGGGCAGGCCGTGCGTTCTCCCCGAGGCCGGGAGTTGGACGGAGGGCGAACGCGCCTGGCAGCACCTGGGCGGGAGGAAGGCGGGATGCGGGCGCCGGGGGATCCCACCGACTCACAGCACCGCGAGCAGCCGGCGCTGGCCGGGCCGGGACTGCATGGTGCGCGCTCGCCGCTGCGTCCCGCCCGCCGCTCGCCTCCTCCCCTGCAGGGGGCTCCGCGCTCCAGTGAACTCCTGGGGGCGGTGGCGGCGCTCTCGGGACGCGTCCGGCTGGGCTCCTCCCCCGCGCTTTCGCACCTTTTTGCCCACCTTGGGCGAGTACGGAACCTAGCGTGGCGGCGGCGACAGCGGAGTCACGGCCGCGGGCTGGCTGCCCTCTCCCGCCCCGCCCGGGTCACCTGCTTCTAATGCCTGCCGGGAGGCCCCGCCCCGGCCCCGCCCCCTCAGGCCCGGGCGCGGTTGGTGGGCCGCCTCGCCACGCTCTCCGCGCGTCCCCGCCCACTGCCCCGCGGGCTCGGCCTTTCCCCCGTCGCCCTCCTGCCCCGCCCGGAGCGGGCCGCCGAGCGCTGACCAATCGCGGGCCGAGAGTCAATGGCGGCTGGGCGAATGCTAATTACGCCGAACCCGGTCGGGAAGCCCTGGCCAGAAGTCCCTCCGGAGTTCTCTGCCCGCGCTCTGGGTGCAGGACTCGCTCCTGTAACGTCCCGCCTTAGGCACCTTTGCTCCCCCGGCCCCGGCCCTTTCTGGCTGCAGGGAAGCGTCCTTATAGAGTTCGGTGCTTCTTTGAAAGAACTGCTCAAAAAGCCATTCTTAGCCGTGCCTCCTGTCTCCCTTCAGCGCTGACTTGGAGCTGTGTGAAAGAAGAGAGACTACTTACTGAGCCTTTTACCGTGTGCCCACCAAGTGTTCATCGTTTACCTCTTACGACGAGATCGCACTCAGTACAATTCTGAGGCACGTACTCCTTACAGGTGAAGAAACCGAGACTTCGACTTGGCCAAGGCAACCGAGCTAGTCGTAGTTCCCCAAGAAAGGGCAACCTCGGCGAGTTCACCGCCATATTCCGAGCGCCTGGCACATAGTAGGCGCCTAAATGGCATCCCTGGGATTCGAACCCAGGTAGAGGCGGCGGCATTCACTGTCGTGGCCGCCCCTCCCCCTATACGATCGCAGTCTCCCTGGCTTCGACCTTTACTTTTGCATCTCGGAACAAAATCTTGATGTGACAAGAAAGTGGATTTCTTTCTGCCTTTAGAAAACTCATATGTGAGTCCTTTATTAGTCGAGGTTCATAATCCCAGGCAGTTCCGAAGTCGCCTGCAGAGAGAAGCGGCACCGACTAAGGGCTCTCTGCTGGGCAGGGCGCCGGCCTACCCGTCCCCTCCCGTTCCCAGCTGCCCGCTGCTTAGCCGCGCACTCGCGCGCCGCAGGGGGCGGAGGGCGCAAGGATGGCGGGGACGCGGCGACGCTCTTCAGCTGAGCTATTATGCTGCAAGTTTTAAATGTCCTAAAAATGCCTCTTTTCTATGTGTTCTAATTAGATTGGAAGACTGAGGTATTTAGCATACTTGAAATTCATTCACACGCTTAGGAAGAGGGTTTAAATTGTTTCCTTCTCCCCAAACTCTTCCTTCCACCAGGCAAAGGGTGAAACTAGGCAAGAGGGCCTGGGGACACTTGAAGGGATACGGACTGGACTAACTGGATCAGATCCAGATCAACCGCGGTTTCTTGTCAATCGTCTGTCCTGGATCCCATAGGCACAAGTTGGAAGAAAGTGCCACTCCCCTCCTGCCTATCAACAATCCCTTGTGGGCAATAATGAAGAATCCCAGTCTCCATGTTAAAAAGCAACAAATATCATCAATCACTTCACAGATATCAAAACTATTTTATTTTATTTATTTTATTTTTTTAAAAATGGGCTTTCACCATGATGGCCAGGCTGGTCTTGAACTCCTGACCTCAGGTGATCCACCCACCTTGGCCTCCCAAAGTGCTAGGATTACAGGCGTTATCAAAACTATTAATAATAAATGTTTAAAAGGCAGGCCGCCATGGCTCACCCCTGTAATCCTAATACTTTGGGAGGCTGAGGTGAGAGGATGGCTTGAACCCAGGAGATTGTAGGCTAGCCTGAGCAACATAGCAAGATCTCCCCACTCTAAAATACATTAATAAATAAATGAATAAATATACATGACATCTTTCATTCTCTGGAATTCTACAGGTGTTCATATTTTATCTCTTGTGTTTTGGAACTACTTGTGGATCTGGGTCAGAGAGCATCCCAGGATTGAAAACAGTGGGAGTTGAAAAGCTGTGGGCATAGCAGTGAAGAAGAAAGGGCAGCCCTCAGTGGAAAGTATGTGCAGACTGTGAACATGCCAAGGGAGGCCCGTCTCATTCTGTGCTCTTTATGTAACGTGTATATTACTGGGGATGGACAAGTGTTGGCTAATAATAAAAATTATTTGAAGTTGGAGAATGTTAATCATTCACACTGGAATTTAGCCAGAATATTTGTGTTATTTCACACCGTTGTGTCAGAGGCATTTGAACAAGAACAACTCCATCTTGGATAGGGACTGGGTAAAATAAGGCTGAGACCTACTGGGCTGCATTCCCCAGAAGTAAAGGCATTCTAACTCACAGAATGAGATAGGAGGTCAGCACAACTTACAGGTCATAGAGGCCCTGCTGATAAAACAGGGTGCAGTCCAGAAGCCGGTTAAAACCCATCAAAAACAAGATGTCGGGGAGAGTAACCTCTGGTCGTCCTCACTGCTCCTTACACCTTAATTATAATAGATTAGCATGTTAAAAGACACTCCCACCAATGCCAAAGCATTGTTTACAGATGCCATGGCTACTGTTACCATACTGCCTGTATGGTCTAAGATGGGGAGGAAGCTTCAGTTCCAGGAATTGCCTGCCCCTTTCCCAGAAACTCACAAATAATCCACCCCTTGTTTAGCATATAATCAAGAAATAACCATAAAAATGGGCAACCAGCAGCCCATGCCGCTGCTCTGCCTGTGGAGTAGCCATCCTTTACTTTTCTTTTTCTATTCTTTCTTTTTTTTTTTTTTTTTGAGACAGTCTTGCTCTGACTCCCAGGCTGGAGGGCAGTGGCGCGATCTTGGCTCACTGCAACCTCTACCTCCCGAGTTCAAGCGATTCTCCTGCCTCAGCCTCCCAGGAAGCTGGGACTACAGGCCTATGCCACAACACCCGGCTAATTTTTGTATTTTTAGTAGAGTCGGTGTTTCGCAATGTTGACCAGGTTGATCTGGAGCTCCTGGGCTCAGGTGATCCACCCACCTCGGCCTCCCAAAGTGCTGAGATTACACGCGTGAGCCACCGCACCTGGCCCTTTCTTAACAAACTTGCTTTCATTTTACTCTGTGTACTCGCCCCAAATTCGTTCTTGCATGAGATCCAAGAACCCTCTCTTCGGGTCTGGATCGGGTCCCTTTTCCAGCAACAGTTTTGGAGCAAACAATATTATCCACTGGTTTGTAAACCTTTTCTTTTTTTTTCTTTTTTTTTTTTTTTT